CGCGGCACCGCTGCACGGTTGCTTGGGGGTTGGGGAAACTGTAACAAACATTGGAGGAATTTTCAAAATACCTTTTATAAGACAACGCGCAGTGAAATGGGAGGAACTAGAGTTTATTTTGCCATAAGGTAGTATGATTATGCATGACACGAAGTATTTGCTAGTCTAGTACTGAAGAAATTAGCGTTTGGATGCGCATTGTGCGGCTTTAATAATTAACATATCTATAACTATAGTGTACGAGCAAACAAGGCAATGATTGCTGCTTTATATATTCTACAGAGCTGTATAAGGTATTACGGAAGCTGGGATGACCTTCAGGCGACCTCTGATGCTGCAACTTGTTTGCCAGTGCAGACAGAACCTCCTCCTGAAAACAGAGGCAGCACATTATGCAAAGCGGAGAGTAATTAACAGTCATCATTAACGTCAAACAGATGCAATAACAATAGATGCGATAACACGGAAGAAGCTGCCGTCATACACGTATTCAGGGCAGATTCTCTCTAACATGCAAGATGAACATTAAAATCATGCTATAGGCCCATTGATTATGCAATGTTGACGAATGCTAGAGTAACTGGCACCTTGTGTAGTTAATAAGTACATAACCTTATAGCCAAACGCGTATTATAGCTTGTCCAATATCACTGCTGGCTACATTACTAGCAAGACTTGAAATCGGTTGTTGATATTCATTTACGTGCCGTAAATGTCATCCAGGAGTCAAGCGATGACGTAAACATTTGTGCGGCCCGTATGTTTTGGACGCCAGATGAAATAGAGGTGTCAGCGGTGTAACCACGGTCATGGACTAAACATGGAAATGGAGTTAAACACACGTACTAATCACGGACGCACATGGACAGCCCTGACAAAAAATTCGTTATCACGAGCGTCCGTGTTTACCAAATCACCGATGATAGCACTGCGTACGGCCGAGCATGCGTGCGAAAATGTCCGGTGCACTATAAATCTGTATCACACCCACTTCGACGGCAGCGGTTTGAAACTGTAAACAACTGATTTCTTGGACTGCGGATTTCAATTAGACATTTCATAGTAACCATGCAGCAGTGATATTGGACAAACTAATACACGTTTGAATGGTAGGTTATGTACTTATTAATTACACAAGGTGCCATGCAGTTACTCTAGCATTCGTCAACATTGCATGATCAATGGGCTTAGTGCGCTTTTAAGTAATTACAACATTAACTTACTACCATAGATTTTTTAATTGTTTTTACTGTTTTCAAACTCAACGAATAAAAGCAGCAGCTTTAGTTAAATATTAATTTTAATGTATGCCTGAAATATATATGCAGTTGAGGCTTGCCCTTCTTTAAAAATGTATGTTTTTGAAATTCAAAAACCAACGATCACATAAAAAAGACAGTGGCAACAGAAGTGTATGTATGATGATGTCATTAACCGGAAAGCTGCAGCATCACCTCTGTGTTCACATAGGGCTTCATCACGCCGATCTTTCCAAAATAGTTGATCAGCTCAGACTTGCTGCTGACTCCGGTAAGACAGACGAACGTACTCGTCGCCTCCTCCCTTACGTCAACCTGTGCAACACAGAAATGCCAAGAAGCAGCTGTGCAGGTGGCAGTCTACGCTCTCTGACGCACTGTTCATCCGTGTTGGATTTCAATTGTGTTTACTTCTACAATGAATTTGTGTTTATATGAAATCGTATAAACGATAACATAATGTAATGTAATAATAAATATGTAAACGTATAATGTCAATGTCACAATGTCAATATATAATGTCAATAACGTAATATGTTTACTATGATGATAAGACATTAAAACACAAGCAGGAAGCAGGAGAGACGGTTTCATCGTGAACCACGCAGGTGAGATAATAATTACAGGTTTGTAACTGTGCAATTACATGATATTACAATACGAGCCAAATGAGATACCGTCATCTATATATACCCGAGTATTTATTTGGCATTAAAACATGAGCTAGGTGAGATCATCTACGATATGTCGCTATGAACCTTACACGTGTGATAATTGTGACTACATACCTGGGTATCAATATGTGATATCACAATGCAGATCAGTTGATATAATCTACGATATTTCACTACAAACGCTGCAGGTGTGATAACCACACATGCATACCTGGGCATTATTGTATTAATGACATATATGGTATTACAACGCGTGCCAGGTGCGATAAACTCAATAATTCACACCTGGACCTTGACGATGAGATACGTCAGATGTGATAACGATGCGTACCTGTGCGTCTACGAGCATCGGCATGATACCTGCGAGAACGTCGCTGCGTGCCATGCCCAGCTGTCCCAGCGTGCGCACCGCGTTGCACCGGATGCGCGCCTGCTTGTGCGTCAGCTGCGCCATCAGGTGGTCGATGAGAGAATCAAGCTCAGACGGCGTGAGCTCTAGCTCTCTGTAAAGCGACAATAATGAACATGTAAACATTCCACCTCTCCTTAACAGCAAGTATATAAGACAAGTGACATATATATATATATATATATATATATATATATATATCAGGAGTAGATAATAGGGAGGAGTGTGACATCAATAAACAAGGGAAATTCGTCATTTACTAGCCTTATAATACCTACGATTTACTACGCGTAACTCATCCAACTTGAGCTCAAATCGGACACAGTACATTCGCCTATCATCGTGCGAAATCGTTTCCTCGTAGACACCCGCAATCCGGAGATACAGCCTAAAACGTACGACACGATTCTCCATTCTTTGGCCATCAATCCAACGCCATTGCGCGCCTATAATTCAGACAAAAGGCAGCAACACTGCCGCGCAGTCGCTGTGTTTGCTCTCTCGGAATGCGGAATGTGGCGTTGTGGCTCGTGGGGAGATTGGACATCGACGCAACACTCGACGAGCTAATCATGCGGTTGGCGTGCGTGCGTGAAGGCATGCCAGCTATGTACAGAGGTGGCCTGTGTAGCTGTGTACCGGGTCAAAGGTTATCTCGCCGAGTGTTGATGCCTAATCTCCCAGCGAGCCACATGCCTCGCTGAGTTAGCAATAGCGCGTTAGGTAGCTGCCTTTTGTTTGAATTATAGGCGCGCAATGGCGTTGGATTGATGGCCAAAGAATGGAGAATCGTGTCGTACGTTTTAGGCTGTATCTCCGGATTGCGAGTGTCTACGAGGAAACGATTTCGCACGATGATAGGCGAATGTACTGTGTCCGATTTGAGCTCAAGTTGGATGAGTTACGCGTAGTAAATCGTAGGTATTATAAGGCTAGTAAATGACGAATTTCCCTTGTTTATTGATGTCACACTCCTCCCTATTATCTACTCCTGATATATATATATCAAGAGCTAATAAATACCTAGAGTGTACAACGGGAAAATGGGAAAATAGTGCTATTCCACGGCAATATTATTCTACTTTGTGTGCGGTTCTAGACTATGTCCATGGTATTGCGTTAAGCAGCATTCTTTGCTCTCTAAAATAAGACCAACCGCTTGTCTCTACGATACTCCTAGACCGAGATATTGGAGTGTAATCATGCCTCCCACAGGCCTCTGGCCGCCTCGCATCTACATTATTCCCCAACCGTCTCGCCTTTTGCGGGTTAGGAAAGTCGCTTGGTGAGAGTTCGGTTTTTTCCGCAATAACTATATGAATGAACGGCGTTTCGGTTATCATCGGTGACTTTCGGGGGCATCACCTATATGCCCTTATCTCCCATTATGTTTCCTAGCAAGGCTAATGCCCGTAATGATGGAGCCGGCAATGTTTTCTAAATTAAGTCTCTACGACGTACGCAGCTCAGTTACTATATGGTGTAGTAAGAGTACCAAATTTGGGCATGGGACATCAATTATCAGCGCTCCAAGCGGCAACGGAAAACGATAGCCAGACCCGCAAAAGGCGAGAAGGTTCGGGAATAATGTAGATGCGAGGCAGCGTGAGGCCTGTGGGAGGCATGATTACACTCCAATATCTCGGCCTAGGAGTATCGTAGAGACAAGCGGTTGGTCTTATTTTAGAGAGCAAAGAATGCTGCTTAAAATTTTTTTAATCTATCCTATCTCTCTTTTTTTTTATCTTCATTGGTGTTCGTGTGTGATTTTACTTCTACATATATGTATATATGTGTGTGTATATATATATATATATATATACATGTACTATAGCAGACAAGTGGTGCGAGTGAAGCATCTACTAAGGCTCACGTGTGAAGTCTGACGATGTAGTTGCACAGGTGCTTGTGTGGGCCAACCCCGACGAAATCCATGATCTGGAGGAAGGCTTTGACCACCCAGGACACCGTCAGCTCTAGCTCTTTAGGGAACCAGCTCTCCAATGCTATCTCCTTCAGCAACAGAGGGATGCCATCGTCTACCTAGGCACAGTGGGAGCAACACTTGATTTAACATTATTTGTATTAATTTTATCAGCATTGTCGATTAAATTATTAATAATTAACTAATAACTAATAAATAATATTAAGTAATATGTGTGACCTCCAAAAAGCAATTCATATGTGTAAATAAAGTAATTTGAATTGAATTGAATTGAATTGCATTTGACTGTGTAGGGGGACGGCTCGATCATATCCGCTTCACACATCTCTGTCCTAACGCTGTTCTAACAGCCCGCTGTACGTATGAGCAGTTGCAGGTATGTGCAGTAGAGAGTGGTGAGCAGCAGATTAATTCACATGCCCAGTTCTCATGCTAACACATGCTGAATGGATAGTAGACGATATGTGCTGCTATGGTGTCCAGTAGGCTAATTCACATGCCCCTTCTCTCTCATGCTAACACATGCTGATGAAAGAGGTGTTAAGACTCTCTAGCATGTCAAAAAAAATTGAACAATCAATATATCATACACATTTTTAGTAGATTAACGAACACGAGTACAAGCACAGGCTGTATTATGTACATGCATGCACGCACACACGCACAGAGAATAGGGGAATGGGAACAGTGAATGCTGCATATTCGAATGAACCCTATAAGCCCATACTGGTTACGCTACAAACATAGTAACAGGTTACAGGAACAGTGGCATGCACAGGTAAAAACACCAGTCTAAGTAGAATGACAAACATAACTATAGGCTAGTCAGTCACGTACATCTGTGTCCAAGATTCCATCCCCAGCTTCCTCCGCCAGTAGCAGGTCAGAGCTCAATTTCTCTGCAGCATCTCCGGAAATGGACTCCTGTTGCTGTGGCTGTATCGCGCCTTCATCCTCAGGCTGCGTTGGCCAGCTGGGATCGTACAACACCCGCCTGATGTTCACCTTCCGAATTTTGACTGGAATTGCATGAGGTTCTATGACTGAAAACGTTACAGCTTTCCAGATAAATAGATAAATGACATCTAGTGAAATCTCAGAGAGAGAGAGAGAGATAGAGAGAGAGAGAACAAGAGAGATAGAGAGAGAGAGGGAGAGGGTGAGTATGGAAGTGTGGGAGAACAAAAGAGAGGGAGAGGGAGAAGCAGAGGGAGAGGGAGAGCTAAAGTAAAAGAGAATGGGGCAGCTATAGATAGAGAAGGGCAGCATATACCAAAAGAAAGCACTTCTAGTCAGATAATGGGCCACAGAGCAAGTGAATATTATAACATATAGGCTCTGTCAGGGTATTGGCACATGAGAAATGCCCCTCCACACACAGTTCTATGTTCTCACATCCTATCGGCTTTCCATCCTCTGTCGGTGGTCCGGAGACTGCGCACTCGTCTACATCATCTTCCTCTATCTCATCCTCACTGCTCGACGCCCACATGATGACGTCAGCTGGATCACCCTCCGACTCCTGCAACCATGGCAACGCAACGCTATGTGTGACACAGTGTGACAGCCACATTAATTGTACAGATGCAAACGCCCGACTGTTGTATATATATATAAATAAATAAATATATATACATATATATATATATATGCATACATATATATAAATTTATAATTATATATGTATATATATATATATACATATTCATATTATAAATGAGACAACCACTGTTCTGTATCCTCACCACGCATAACACGTGCTAATTTTGGCTCTGTAAATATTTCTAGCCAAAGTATTTTTTCCTGAAGTGTTGTCTTTCTTAGACCAGTAATTTATTATGTTCAATATAAGACTGGCAGAGTTATCATTGTTGATCAGTTTATTTTCTTGTTTTGCACTTACGATGCTGCTGCTGGCGCCACTGCTGACATGCTCCCCATCAGCGCCCTCTTGTGGCAGCCGCTCGCTCTTCTTCACCTTCTTTCTCTTCTTCACGCTGCGTAGCTGTTTCGGCTTCCACTGTGTAGCAGCGAGTGTAGGGGGCGCCGGCGGCTTCTTAAAGCCGAGGAGATCTCTTATCGTCGAGTTTGGGATGAACCCTGAAGCAAATAACTTTTAGACACTCATCGACCGGTACCCTACTACACTAAAGCAGTACCAGACATTATCATTTACATAATACCAGTTATCTTCACATTATTAATGTACATCTACTGCTCTATCTACATAATTCTGTATATACCAACTACTTATTAATTACTACATCACAGCACCAGGAGCGAAAAATAATATCTATTATTATTCTAGATCTTATTATTCTAGATCTATTATTATTCTAGATCTTATTATTCTAGATCTATTATCATTCACTCCTGATAGCACATTGCCTACCGTCGATAGCGATGGGTAGCGGAGGTTTAACCAGGGGCTCAGTGGTGAGAGTGGCTAACGAGCCACACTCCCCGTCAACCCCGCCCTCTCCAGCATCCCCGCTGTCCTGTCCCAGCATCCGCTCTGCTGCTGCTACCTCCGCCTCACTGCCCTGACCGGCGGTCATATCAGCAACTGCAACAACATGTCAATGGAGCCATCGCGAGCTTAGCAAGCTTTCACTCTAAGGTTTTGTACAGATGCCCACACCATGTAGAGAAAGCATGCTGAGAAGCGATTCCTATGTGTGATGCATTAGATATAAATGACACGTAACTGAAATACCCAATATATGATTAATAATTGTTTGCCATTAATAATTGTTTGCCATGCATGATAATAATTTGTTTCCCAATAAATTTAATATATGCTGTTTAGTGCGACACATGCTAGAGGGTGTAGGTAGCAGAGGAACTACATCGCTTACCCGTTGCCATGGCGAACGGAGGCTGCGGAGCGGCGGTCAGTCTCCGTGCTGCCACCACGGCAGCACGTCCCGCAAGATCCAAGTCTGGCGATGCTCCACTCCCCTCCTCCTCACCCAGCAGGCAAGCGACGTCCTCTGGTGTGAGAGAGGAGAGCGGGGGGGACGTGGCATTGATGTCGTGGGCCGGCTTGGTGTGACGGACCCTGCCAATGGTATCTGACGGAACCTCCGCCATGTCAAACCTATAAACATGTGAGCATGCGAATATTATATGGGAAGGGTAGAACAGGTCTAGACATGTGCCACCGTGATAAAAAGACACAATACCGAAAGCACGGTGGAAAGATGCTACTAATTCTGTGAGCAATTAGACAATAGATGAATTCATATTTAGCCACTTTAGCAGCAGAACCTCGGTCAGTTTATATTCTTTAACCTTTTTTCATTTTAAAACTTTTTTTACTCTGTTGATCTAGCCTTGATAACAGCTTAATTAACAGCAGATATGATCAATCATAAATAAACAATGAATCTGCTGCTACTGTATCTTACGGGCTGGAATCTGCAACGGTCTTTAGCTACCTGTGCAGGATAATGGGGTTTAACCTACCTGAGTGGGATGCTGTGATTGAACCTACCTGAGCGGGATGCTGGGTTTAACCTATCCTACGCCGGCCGATGCTCGTGGTTTGAGACCTACCTGAGCGAGTGCTGGAGTTTAACCTACGCTGAGTGGGATCGCTTTGATTGAAAATCTACCTGAGCAGATGGCTGGGTTTAAAACCTACCTGAGCGGGATGCGGGGGTTTAACCTACCTCGAGGGCGGGATGCTGGAGTTTACCTACCTTGAGCGGGGGATGCTGTATTGAAATCTACTACCTGCCAGCAGGAATGCCTGGGTTTAATACGTCTAACCTGAGCGGTGATCCTGGGTTTAACCCTACCTGAGCGGGATGCTGTGATTGAACCTACCTGAGCGGGATGCTGTGATTGAACCTACCTGAGCGGGATGCTGGGGTTTAACCTACCTGAGCGGGATGCTGTGATTGAACCTACTGAGCGGGATGCTGGGTTTGAACCTACCTGAGCGGGATGCTGGGGGTTTAACCACCTACCACGGATGCTGTGATTGAACACTACGTACCTGAGCGGTATGCTTTGGAGTTAAACCTACCTGAGAGGATGCATGGGGATTAAACCTAAACCGGAGCGGGATGCTGGGGTTTTTAACGCTACACTGAGGCGGGATGCTGGGCGTTTAACCTCACCTGAGGGCGGGATGCTGGGGTTTAACCTATCATGAGTGGGATGCTGTGATTGAAACCTACATGAGAGCGGGAATCTGTGATGAAGAACCTACCTGAGGGGACTGTAGTTTAAGCCTATACCTAGTGGGATGCCTGTGATGAACCTACCTGAGACGGATGCTGGGTTAAGCCTAACCTGAGCGGGATGCGTGATTGAACCTACCTGAGCGGGATGCTGTGATTGAACCTACCTGAGCGGGATGCTGGGGTTGAACCTACCTGAGCGGGATCTGGGGATTAAATCCTAACCTGCAGGGAATGCTGTGATTCGAACCTACCTGAGCGGGATGCTGTAGTTTAACCTACCTGAGCGGGATGCTGTGGTCGAACGACAGTGGTCCCTCAGCTTCATCGTCCTCGATACTCGCGGTAAGGAGCGTATGAAGGTATGTTGCTGCAGGTAGTGCTAGCTGCGACAAAGCTGTGAAGATCAACAACAACGATACAACAGTGAGCAACATAAAGATCAACAACGGTACAACAGTGAGCAACATTCAAATCAGGATTCTGATGCATTTTATACACTAACAAGCAATATACATACCCTGCTCAGGCCTCGCTACCCACTCGCCAATTCGCCATCGGCGAACAAACTTGAGTAATTCTGCGATTATGAAAGTCTTATTTTGGCTGACAAATAAGTGACGAAACCCGTAATTTCCCCACGTAATCAACAAATGTACATCAAAACATCGATCATATTGTAATCGTCGGAAACAGCAACGTTTCTTTTTAGCTCGTGCCGTCACACTCCTGTGTCATTCCGGATTGCAGCTTTTTCCATCGATTCTCGGTAAAAGTTTTGCTGTCGCTGCCCCTCATACCAGCCGCGGTGCCCACCCCTACATAGTAACAGCAATAACCACACCACCTGCACTGTAACAATACAATGCATTCCGTACCCCCCCCCCCCGTACTTCAATCAATGCCCGCCCAGCAGCAAGCACAGCCATTGGACTGGTAAACAGGGTGATCGCCGGCCTGCTTTTTTTCGTTGTTTTTTCTTGATGCGTGAGCAATGCGTAAGGGCATGGCAGGAGCGGCGGGAGAATGGGTACAGATGCAGCGAGTTACCACCGCGAAATGCGGGCAGCGTGAGACTTAGTAGGTCTGCTAACAGAGTACAGATTAAACCTAAAGGGTGAAATTTTATTTCGGGGTGCATCAAATGCATGTCTAACGACATTAAAAGCATGTTTTAAATTTTGCGGGGGACGCCCAGAACCCCCTCTACCCTCTGCCTCCCTCTGCGTCTGCCTGGCAGAAATCCACATTCGTCGCCTAACTTGCCACGCGCTTGAATACCATCATGTGCGTTTTTCACCCAAACTTGGCATTATCACCAGTGTGTCTAATTTTTCCCTCAGAAGATAACCCTGGGGGTTTTAAAAAAGCCTGTCCTCCCACGACACGCACGGCACGCCGGTCGGCCACGGCAACCGCGCTGGCACAAAGTCAAATGATTTGTTCTAGCGTGTGCGTGCAACGTGTGTGGTGTGTGCGCGCGTGCGTGGTAGGTGTGTGTTTGGTGTGTGGTAAACTGACTAGCTGGTGTCGTGATCGGAGGTACTGTAAACGCTAGTAAAGACTGATAAGTACTAACTGGGAGTAGCGACAGATTTGAGTGAGGCAGCTAATGTTTCTGGCTTGAATTACATCCGAGAAGTTACAAATAGTAGTAGAGGTAGAGCCCGTATGATTGCATGTGCTGTGAAAACTCTATACTTAAACGTATTAGTATTGACTGCAAATAACTATACGCCACAGTGGTGTTATAGTACTGTCTATAATGCTAACTTGCGGCCAGCAATCAGAGCGTTGCGTACGTAGCGCGCGCGTGCGTATTAGTGCGTACAGGATACTGAGTAGAAAAGTAGCGTGGTTTGTGACCGCGCCTACTACAAACGTCACCGAGGGTTCTTAGACGAATAACTCCTCTGTGTAGAGACCAGCCCTGAGAAAAATACAACGCTGAAAACAGAAGAGTGTTTGTGACAGTTCTAACCATCGAAAAAATTAAGGCCCCAGAATATGTAGATGCCAGAATGTCGCACCGTGGAACGGGACGGGACGGGGGGGGGGGGTGGGTACGGGGAGATGTTTGACTCCTCTCGCAACCACAGCCCGCCTATGTCCAGTGGTCGTGGCCAAAAAAGATAAGAGATTTATCCTGCCGCAAGTGAATAAAAAAATTCAGGACAATTTGAATGTCCTTTGTCAAGTTATGCATTCAGACGTCATGGTGGTGAATCATAGTGTCACGTGTCTCAGTCATAGACAGGTGGTGAATTAGTAGTAGTTTGCTTTGGCATTAAATAAGTGTCCATGGTCTTTGTACCTTCATTGCATGAGTAAAAAGTGTGTGTGGAACCCAAACATCAAAGAAAAAGAAAAAAATTATTTATCGCCTTTTTTTGTGTTTCATAAACATGTTAGGCACAGAATTTGGCTAACGAGGCAATCCAAGTTGCTAAGAAAGATTCGATTCTGGCTAATTGTTTGTGCTACAGGAAAAAAAATCCGTACTAGCGGCCCCCTCATCTAACATCAGAACAGTGTTACTACTGTACGGTAACTGTCATGGTGGTCGTAAACAACATCGTATATATGCATCGGCACTCACTGATGTTGTCGCCTCTCACTCTCTCCCATCTATAGGCTACCTGTCTATCTATTGATCGACCGCCCGCGCCTGCCCGCACCAACAACTCCGCCGCCGCCACACCCGCCGCCGCCGCCTGCCCGCGCACGAGCTGGCCGGCGTGAAAGCTGAAGAGAAGCAGTACAGGGTGTAACCGTGAGTATCTGAAAAGCCAACGATGATGTCTCCCCGATCCGAGCAGAAGCAGACGCCCTGGAGGCTGGCGATCAAAAACGTCATCTTTACCGCCACCGCGTCTGCATGGCTCTCACAGGCTGCCGGACAAAGCACGAGGCATGTCGTCAACAAATAGAAAGCGCAAACACGAAGGATCTGACGACCCTTCTACATCAAACCGGGGCTTTCTCATCGCAATGTGTTCTTCCGCATTTAGAAAACAATGAAATATAAAAACAACGAAGAGAATAAAATCCGATGACTGATGAAATGCAATATTTTATAAGTATATGTGTACGTGTGGGGGGGGGGAATGGGGGAAGTTAGACCCTGCCCTTTGATTCCCTTTGCTGTACAATGACATCCAGGTCTCATCAGGCAGCTGTAGAATGCACAGAGCAAAAATGAATTTTTTCGGATTCTCAGCGAAAACCCACAGATGCGCTGCAGCTATTCTCTCTATCAGTCGCGACTGTTAGATGTGAAGACACACAGATGTGAAGCTCACAGTCCTGCTATACACACAACATATGTAGGGTATTTTACCAGAGCCTAGCAGTGCTAACACACAATGATGGTGACATTAGGTTCTCCCCCAGGCCTTTAATGCATGTCACGTCCAACATGCCTTAATTGCCTAATCAACATGGCTTAATTTCCAGTTGTGCTTACTTTTGACAATCCGAACAGTCATGGTGTGTTTTCACAGCTTGATGTATACACCTCTGAACTGGGCTGCTTATATAACACATGTACTATTAGGGCTGCTTATATAACACCTGTACTATTAGGGCTGCTTATAAAACACTGATTCAAATTAGCAATCAGAGTTGATTGCCGGATTGCCCGACATGCCTCCTGACATTCTGGGGTGAACCGTATGACGCGGTATACCTTCAGTGTTCCGTCCGATCCTGTTGTGGCGAACAGCTGATGAAGCTCACAGGCTGCGATGGACGTCACCTGTAGAGAAACAACATGTAGAAATGCACACGTACGCAAGTATTACACACACGCAGCAAGACTAGAAACAACATCAAAAGTAGTGAATCATAACGAGCAAAAGAAAACTGTTTTTATTCACTCACTGATATGATACCAGCTTTCTACCAAGGATAAATACAGAAATAGCATGTCATGCCAGACTTATTTACATTGTAATACATACTGGACTTAATGTACGGCTGTTATACCTTATCGTCAACAACAAACTATCACAAAAAATCCATGCCCACAGCAAATCTGAGTCTTTGATCGCATGACCCGGCAGGGGTTAGCGGAGTCCGGAGTCAAACACTCCCTGATTTACTGTCAGTCTCCCTGATTTGACATATGCAGGAGTCCACGTGACTCCCTGAAAATTCTGCATAGATATACTAACTAGTTGATTCCAGAGCACGGCCTCGCAGAATTACCATATTTTTTTAGCAAATGACCCAAGAAAATTTAGCAGACGTCCACTGCAAATGTCATTTTTGTTCATATCTGCAGTACTACTTGTATACTGCAGACGGACTTCCAGATTCTGCTGCGGACTCCCGCTTTTTGATGGTAGGGAGTCTG